AGCACAATTGATAACAGTGCATCTAAATTCCAAAATCAATCTCCACAACAGTCTACGTGTTTCCTATTGCCAAAGGGGCCCTTTAGAGTAGTGAGAGAAGATCTTCACCCTGAAACCTACAGCGTCCCTATTCAGCAGGAAGTAGCTAAGAGAATGCACCATCCCCTCATCCTTATGAATCAGGGTGAAATCTCTCTCAGGGAGGAGTGATAGGGAATGGCAAAGGACACACTGACAAAGGAGATTGATTCATCAGAACTGGTTTTGACAAGCGCTGTGGCAATGGGACAATTAAAACAGACTTTCAAGGGGGGAAAAAAGAAGAGGAATGAACTGAACTGGTGGGGAGGGTAGAGAAAACAGTGCAACAATGAATGAATGCAAACCCAAAATCTCTGTAAACGTTCATTAAAATTAATATAATTTAATAAAAAAAGAACAAAATCCCCCTGCCCCCTCAAAAAGAATGATTGTTCCCTCACATAAACAAGACATCAGGGTCATAAAAGAAAAAGCCATTATTTATACAGAAATGCTTGTGCAAGCGCGCACGCGTGCGCGCACACACACAAATACGTAGAGTAGCAATTTTAAGAATATACTTTTAAAAGTGCACTGGGGTTTTTATTTCAAAAGGTTCTTTTTAGGTAGCTCTTTACATTCTCTTTGCATCAAATGATCTTATGCCAGGCACTAGCGTGAGCCCCTTCAATGCAGAGTACTCCTATCTTTACAGATGCAACCTGATAGCACTTTAGTCATTCCTCTTCCTGCTCTGAAGCTTCTCTGCTCTTGCTATAGTGGTTATGTCACCACAGGATCTACTTCTGGCTTTATTTGAACAACTTGGAAATACAGAGAAGTTCAAGTCTCAGGGAGTGAATCTTTAACAAAAGGAAAACAAGATGATGAACAGATACCTCCCTTTTGTTCTCTTATTTCACATGAATTCTGAGATGGTCTTAGGGAAAGAGGTAATGATTACTGGGGCTGTAGCATCTATAAGGCCTCTACTAGTTGGCTCTTCTAATGTTCTGGCTGCTGTGATTTCTTGCCTACTGTTATCATGGGTTGTTGTTGTTGTTATGTGCCATCGAGTCACTTGCGACTCATTGCGACCCTATGCACAAAAGCCCTAAACTCTGCTCTGTCTTGTGCCAATCGCACTGTCTCTTGACACTCCCATCCCGATAACCCCAATCACTGAATCAATCCACCTCATAGAGGGCCTTCCCCTCCTGCTCAGTCCCTCCACCCTCCCCGGTTCTCCAAGGATCGGTCTCATCTTACAACATGTCCCAAGTATGTCAGATGGAGCTGAGCAAGATAACATCATTGATAATATGTCTTTTCTCTATCTATTCTGATACTGCCTACTGGCCCAGTGGGGAGATTTCTGTTGCCTTGATGTTGGTATGTAACTCTGCAGCAAGTGCATAAAGTCTTCTTCACTTTCTGCAAGCAAGGGTTTGTCACCTGCATTAATGCAGGTTGTTGATCAGTCTTCCTCCTGTCCTGAGGTCACATTCTTCTTCACAACGTTCGTTCCGTTTACGGAATGGTTTGCTCAACAGACTTCTTAAAAAGTACTGAGAAAAGATACAACTTTGAAACACAACCTTTCCTGATTTAAACTATACAGCATTCCCTTGTTCTATTCAGATACATGCTTCTAGGGCCTAATGTGTAAGCTTTTCATTCTTCTCATAGTTATCTAATTTTTTATGATCCACACAGTTACAGATCATGCCTTTACATAATCAATAATTTGTTTTCCTACATGTAACCATCTTTCTGGTATTCTCTGTTTCCAGCCAAGATCTATCTGATTATCAGCAAGGTATTTCCTTGTGCCATGGCTTCTTCTAAATTCAGTCTGAATCTCTGGCAGTTGCCTACTCACTGAACCTTCCACCTGGTTTTGAATAACTTTTTACTTGCATGTGTTTAAAGACATTGTTTCAAAATTTCCACACACTGTTGTAATACATTTTTTGGAATGGGAACCAGAATGGGCCTCTTCTAGCTGGATGGCCATTTAGCTGTCTTTCCCAATCTCTGGCACACACTAGTAAGCACATCTAGAGCTGTTTTGCTGCAACACCGCAATTAGTATTCCATCAATTCCTGCACTTTTCCTTCTGTACTACTAGCTCTTGACCATATACTACTTCCTGAAATGGTTCAGTGTCATGCAATTCTTTTTGATGCTTCAAGTTATTAACCCACAGAATCCTTCAGTTTTGCAATGTGAAGCTGAAAGTTGTTTTTTGAGTTCCTTTGGCCTAAGAAATGCTGAGTGCATTCTCCCCTTTTGGTTTCCTAACTCCAGTTTCCTCCACATTTTGTTACAAGACTTTGCTCTATCATCTAGTGCTACCCTTTGAAATCTTCTGTTCAGAACTTATTTCAGCATTCCTACTTCTTGTTATGGCTGTAAACAGCATCAAATAATTCAGCTTAAATATATTTTTGCTTTGTCTTCTCAAGTTGCCCTTTGAAATCTTCTGTTGGGCTCTCTCAACTTCACCAGCATTCCTCCTCCTTATTTTAATAAACACCAAATAATTCTACTTAAGCATTTAGTTCCAATTAAGCTAGATTCTATTAGCACTCATTCACTTTATACCCTTGTAGCACATTATATAACAGATAGTCCTCTACTGAGCAAATTCAGATTTACTATGCCAAGAGAAGATCATCTTCACTATCAGAAAAGTTTACTTACCTTTAACAAGATAATATCAATATCTGAGTACTTCATGCCATTCACTAACACGGGAATCAACCTATAAAAATTAATAATAATAAAAATCTAAACATTTAACTGTTTTAGACGTCTTAACACAGTAACTTGTCATTACACATCAATTAGCCAACCTGGATATACTGTCCTAAGATTCTATACATCAAATACTTATGATGTCTAGTTTGAAAATGTATGTATCTACACTCTTATGTACAGATCAAAACATTAACTTAATTCTTCTAGCAGCTATGAATTTTAAAGTTTTATGGAACTCTTAAGATTTGATGTTTTGCTTTCTCAAAGGTTTACCACACACACTGGAAAAAATCTATCAGGATAAAACATTCTTATGCGATTACTTTTGAAGCATACTTAACAGAGCCAATAGTAGCTCCAGCAAAATTCTACCCATAATGCCTCCATATTTACTGCTATGGGTCACTTGGAAAGAGAAAAGCAAAGAAATGCATTCATTAATTGGCAGTGACAGGCTTTTTTAATAAAAAGTGAGAAAGAGGTTAAAAACCTCCATTTTATAGACGAATAACCTAAGTGTAGAAAGACTACATTGAATCTACCCAAAGTCATGGGGGGGGGAGAAAAGGGGACATCACTGCCACTGAGGCGATTCTGGTTCGTGACACCAAGTGGGTGTCAGGTAGGGAGGAGACAGCTCATTTTCTCCTAGACAGTGGCTGGTGGGTTCAAATTTATGTTGTTGTGTCATCGAGTTGCTTGCGACTCATAGCAACCCTACGTACAAGAGCTCCAAACGCCATTCTATCCTGTGCCAACCTAGCCATCTCAAACACACTCAGTCCCACCACATCAGTCACAGAATCGATCCATTTCATCAAAGGTCTTCCTCTCCTTCACCGCTCCTCCACTCTGCCAAACATAATGTCCCTCTCCAAGGACCAGTCCCTCCTTGCAACGTGCCCAAAGTATGTCAGACGAAGCTTCAGAATCCTTGACTCCAAGGAGCATTCTGGCTTCACCTTCTTCAGGACAAACCTGTTTGTTCTCCTAGCAGTCCACGGTATATTCAACACTCTTCTCCAGCACAACAGCTGAAAGGTATCAATTTTCTATCATCTCTATTCACTGTCCAACTTCTCTGAAGCATAGCACGGAATTGCAAAAACTATAGCCCGGATCAGAAGCAAAAAGTAAACTAAGGCTGACTTCTTTAAAATCTTAATTTCCAAAGAGCACAGAACATATCCTAAATATTAAATGAGGCATCATGTCTCAGAAATTAATCAAAACTGAAAAAACAACATCAGTGCTACTGAGTTGATTCTGACTCACAGCCTCCTAGGGTTTCCATGGCTGCTGTGGAAGCAGATCATTCTTGCCACAGGTGAATGAGTGGTTTGACTTTTTTGGTTAACAATTATGTACTTTAACCACTGTGCGACCAGGGACCGTTAAATTTAAGAACAACACAGCATTTATAAGAATGAACACTTACTTAGGAAGGTGCCTTACGAGTACATCTTTGCATATTGGCTGTTCAGCCAAAGTGAGCCAAAACTCACAAGCTTCTAAAGCAACATTTTCATCTTGATCTTGGGTCCTCTGTAACATATACTGTAAACAAAGTAAATGTATTATTATTTTGTTTAAACCAGACAATGTATAAAAACTCAATGTTAATACAGCAAATTAACAGTACTTTGTTAAAGGCCTTGCATGAAATTGTTTCTCAGCAGGAAATTTTAAAAGGCAGTCAGGTTTGAACAGTACTGCTTTTGAATGGTGCTCCATGACCAATATTCAGAGCATGTAGAGTTTATCTGTTTTTATACAGGTTAATCATATTTTCAAACCAATTAGATATTAACATTATTTTAACTATCAAGTAGTAAGTCTTTGAAATATCAAAATAAACACCATAATAATGTTATGATACTCTTATAACAATTATTCAAGACGTATTGAAATGTAGAAATGCATGTCAGTACCTGTATGTATATGCAAATTATAAAGGTTAATATTCTGTTTTTTTCCTCTAAAAAGTAATGCTATTTCTCTCATGATTACAATTATACTTTTCAACAAAATAAATTGATCATGTCTTCTAAACACACCAAGCCAAATTCAGTTTTTTTTCTTTTATTTTTTTAATAATTTTAATGAACATTTACAGAGAATTTGGATTTCCATTCATTCATCCAAATCCAGTTTTAATTAGAACACGAGATCCAAAAGCATGGTACTAAGGGCTTTCTAAGAAACACCTACACACAAAAATCCAAATAAACATAACTAAAGGCACATATTTGATTTCCGGTATATCTGCGGCTGTCACACATGTGATTGCTCATATATATCTCACAGGACAAAATACAGCACAATTATTGTTAGTTTGTCCCCACTACATGGCACACCTGGTCCTATTCTATGCTACATAGTACCCTGGAGAAAGAACCGTAGCATTGTCAATTAGGTTCACCAGCTGTGACCTGGTGTTTCCCACTGCTGTCAAGTGGATTGAGTCCCAGCACGCTCCATAATCTCTCTGGGGCTGAAGATCTGTTCACTTTTCTTTCTCAGAGTAGTTAAGGAATGAACTGGCCCACACAACTGATAAAATGTCTTGAACTTTCAAGTCCATCTAACTCTTTTATTTCACAGAGAAAATACGCTCAAAGAAAATAACATTTACCTACATCTCATATTGCGCAACCTATCTTTGTTTCCGTGACTACCTTTCCTAAGGCTTTAGGAAACATTGTTTTTTGCACACTGTGGAGGCTATCTTACTCTGGTTAAAATCTCACAGCCCATCCTTCAAAAAAGATCCTACTTATCCTTTTTTTCCATACACTTTGGTCCACTTGAAGGAAAAGAGGCTTTATAAATATGATTTTAAAAAACTGAAAAGTTATTCAATATTAACATACAACTATACAAAAGCAACATGAAAACAAGCAGACTTGACTACTACTTAAGCAATAGGTAATTCTGGTCTAATGATAATTGGCTTACATATCCTTTTTTTAATATTACATATACTATGAGTAACATATTAGAGTATGACACTTAAAAGTCCAAAATTTGGCCTTTAGCCTAATCTATAGAGCCTAATTTATAATCTTTCTTTTGGTTGTCTATGTTATAAACTGGCTAATTTTTTCCTTACCATTCATTTCCTCAAATATGTTATAATGGCTCACATTACCTCAACTATGTTATGCATATGAGGAAGGAGGCGATCCATTCGAACTTCAAGTAACATCACAAGAGCCCGGCATACATTTTTCCGTACCTCTGGTTCTTCATCACCCGCCAATGCAAAGAGATTCTATTACAGAAAAAACGTATTTTTGACCTAGTTTAAAAATTTTGAAGTTCTGGAAAGGTATAGCCATAAAAATAAGTGACCTTTAAGTTATTAATAATTAAAAAACCTAAGAAAATACAGTACAATGACAATAATCTGGAATAAGGGGTGCATTGTGGGGAGGGCTTGTACAGAGAGGGGAAGAGAATATTTAACAGGAAAAAACAAAACACATGTTAAAAAAATTTTAAAAGATATAGTACAAATAACAACTGAAGTAAACTGGTCAATAACCTAAGGTTATAAAACAGGACAATTAACTGTTGGATAATAATAGTTCAAAGTCGTGATTTTAGTAAGCAAAACCATTCTTTGGTAAGAGTTCAATTAATTGTGTCTGATGTTATTTCTAATCTATGTCTTTAAGACAAAAGGGCATTACCCAGTTCACCCAGAAATAATAAATACACAATTTATATACTCTGACCATCACATTACCTGCTGGTATTTTTGCAAAATGTTTAGTACATGCACACCCATGTTTATTGTAGCTTTGTTCACAATAGCAAGGAGTTGGAAACAACCTAAGTGCCCATCAACAAACGAATGGCTAGAGAAGC